ACATGCACATTGTTCAAAACATAAACTCACAAGTCAGGCGCAGAACCGAACGAAGCAGAGGACAAACCGGAAGAGACCACAGATAACTTTACAATCATTAACCTTTTTATAGGTACACATGAATAAAAATGCTAACAACGCTAACGTCATGTGAGTATGTCTAGCAAAAAAATCGGTACAGATTACAGCATAGTCTCAACAGGACAAGCCCAATAAGTGGGGCTTTAAAAACTATCAGGAATGATATAGATTGTCAAATATGAGAGATATTTGACCGCCTTTCTGTCTTTAGAATTTCGCGGCTATGTATAAAGCACTACAGAGCTCGTATCTGGCAATACTATACATCATTTGAAAGGTCTTGACATAACCTACAAAACGACGCTTTGCATGATTAGTTTGAATATTGCGTTCAACAGTTATTGACGTGTAAACATGGATTTTACTAATGCCGAAATTCGCGCTATTTTAAAATTTTTCTTCGTTAAAGGCAAATCCGCTAAAGAAACGTTCCGTGAGATTAATGCTGTTTTGGGGGATAGTACTCTATCATTTCGAACCGCGAAGGAATGGTTTCGACGATTCAGAGCCGGTGAAAACGACACCATGGATAAGCTAGCCGGCGGAAGAGCTGTGAAGAACGACGAATACTGATCAAATCATGGAAAACATCGAGTTAGACCGGCATGTGGCATCTCAAGACATAGCCCAGGAGATGAGAGTTACTCACCAAACCATTTTAAACTGCAGAGGACTAGATACAAAAAAAGCTTGATGTTTGGGTGCCGCATGATTTGAGATTTGAGACGGAGAAACATACAATGTGGACAATGGTGTATTATTATAACTTAGGACATATTCTCAATAATCAACTTTATCCTCCTTAGCTTTAGATAGAATCTTTTTGCTTATATGTACTGCCTTTTCAGCCATACCATTACTATTTGGGTAATGTGGACTGCTAGTTATTAAACTTATATCTTTACTTTTAAAATATTTTAAACATTCAAAAGAACTAAAAGGGTTATTATTTGCAATAACTTCTTCATTTGATGAATTTGATTTATTACACAAAGCTTCACTTATTTTATTCACTTTACAGCTCACTGCCAAGTGATTTAATATCCCACATTTTGCACATTTTTTTCCATATGCAGGACATTCTCTCGGACCATGCTGACTTTTGCAACGACGACAATCAAATTTATTATTTAGATATCTTTGAAACTTCTTCTCAGTTCTTTTATTTACATAATTCTTTACTCGACCCAACCTGTATTGAAGTAATACAGGTTGGATTCATTTCCATTACTTGAGAACGACTAGCTTCTGCTGCTCTGCATCTACTTGTAGCTTTGTCCAAAGTCAAGTTCTCGACTCGGAGCAAACTTTCTTGTAATTGTTTATCAAAAATGCCTTGTACGATATGATCTCGTAAGTAAATCATCCTCTATAGACTCCATATAATTACAATTTATAATCAGTAACCTTAAATTTGAGTAAAAACTTTCAAAATTTTCGCCTTCCAATTGTTTTCTGTCATTAAACTTGTACCTTTCAAAAACGTCATTGCATTTAGGCTTTACATATTTCTCAATTTCTTGTAACACTTTATTGTAGTTTTCGCTATCTTCCTTTGATAATTTGAACGATAATATAATTTTTGTCGACTCAGGACCCATCATGTTCCTCAGCAGAGATAATTTAATTTGGTCTGTAGCCTTGTCACTACCGACAGCCACCAGATAATCTATACACATGCTTTTCCAAGCTTTCCATTCTGCTGCTGCAGATTGAGCTCGAATGTCGAAGTTTGGGGGCAATTTTACTCAACTACGCTCCATGCTGGTTGCAATTTCAATCCGTGGTAAGCTTCAGAATTGATATCGTTATAACCGAAATACACTGTTTAGACTTACAGTAAATACCGCTGCGCCATGTTTTATATGTTATTTTAAAATAATATGCAGTCTATCTTTTATATTTAATATTTATTAGGAAACTTATAAACTTACACAATGACAGATACTTAACAAGAGAGAGAGCAACATTTTTAGATTACCCAACATCACACATTGACATTAACTTTGACATACTTCAAGAAGAATGAGCAAAACTTGTGTGTTGCTCTTTTGAATAAATGTTTTTTTATATAAATAATCACACAATAACAAGAGACATGCGATAATCAATATAGAAACCGCTATGTACTTATTCCTAGTGCAATCACGTAATATTGTCAGCACTATGAATTTTAAGTTTTTCTACAAAAACATTATTATCCTTAACGAACTCTTAAATTTTATAGTATGCTTTATATATATTGTTAGGAGTATGAGTTGTAGATATACGACCTAATTGTCTGTGTATCGATGACGATGTCGTTGCTTAGCATCTTGTTGATTGTAATATCTTTTTATTCTGCTTATTATACGTATTCAATAATTAATATTGCTTTTTGTTCTCAACTTTAATATGGTAGCAGAGCAAATAATAACGACATAAAATGGCCTCCTATGGAAAAATAGAACAATTAAATAAAGATAACTATGACACTTGGGCCTTACAAGCCAAAGCAGTCCTTGTTAAACAAAAGCTATGAAAATACGTAATAACTTCAGACATAGAATATGAGGATTCTAAAATTAAAGAAGAAGACTTGCTAGCGCAATCAGAACTCATTTTATTGATGTCTGCAGCAGAAATAAAACTAATAAAAACAATGTGAAAATTTTAGAGTAGCGATAGAGTCGAGAGACACGTTACCTAAACCAGAGGATGTTAAGATAAAAATTATTGAAGAATCGGAAGCTAGAAAACATTTATCCTCTGCTGATGCAAGCACAAGTAATGAAGAAGTTTATTATGCTTTCTGCAAGATATGTAAGAAAAAAGGACATAATACTAAAAACTGTAGAAAGAAGTCATCATACTACAAAAATAAGACGACTATAAAATCAAGTCATGATAGCAAAGACGTAAATAAAAATAATATTGCGATTTGTCTATATGTATCTAAGGAAGAAAACAAAAAAAAATGGATCATAGATAGCGGATGCACCTCACATATGTCTTATGAAAGAAATATTTTTCAAAATTTAGAGTAATGGTAAGGTATTTTATTATACCATTTTTATTTCTATGAAAAGGTGAGAAGCCGTAATGGCGACTCAAACCCCAGCTAACGACGTGCCTACAGCGCAAGCGAATCCACCGCCCAACACGAAGCAGCAACCGCAAAATGCGAACAAAGAGCAAAAGCCAAAGAAACCATTCCAGCGTCCCAAAAATAAGACGCAGAGAGGTATCCCTCAGCCAAAAAGATTATCTACAACAGAAACACCACTTACAAACGATCCTTTATGGCGAGAATCCTTCGTCATTGACGGAGAAACAGGATTTGTCTCTGAAGAGGCAGCAAAGGAATTCGAAGCAGATGCAGCAGGATACGTACAGCTAGTGGAGAACGAGTACAAAGCGATTTCGGACGTGGACCGCTATTATGCGAAGTCTATCCCCGCCTCAGCCCATGCCTATTATCATGGAGTATTGTATTGTATTATATTATCAGATCGCGCTTTCAGCGCAGAAAAGAGGTACTTCCTCAAATGACCAAGAGAGGCTGATAAGATTCGTTGAAGGTTACGGAACCGCCGTGATCGCATCTGGAGCTGGAGAATACCTAGAAGAAGGCCTAGGAGACTGTCGATGCAACAGGAGTCAGGCATCTCTTACACGCACGAGAGCCAAATGACCAAGGCCACTTTGGTAAAGCAGCCGCACAGACCCACGGTCTTTACGAGACGCTCCCAGCACCAGCAATCCTCTTTGAACGGACCATAGAGGATTTGCAGTCAACCCAACAGATGTGAAATTTGTTGATAAAATTTTCTATAAAGAAAACTTTAATTCAAATAATTCAAGTACAACTGATTATGTAGATCTGATCTTTAATAATATTGAGAAATTAGAGGAGAGAGATAAAAAACAAACTATAATCAGTGAAGAGAACATTGACCCAAATGAAATTGTAAGCGAATATGAATCAGTTAACAATGATTTTGAGATAGATGATGAAAGAAATATCAAGCTGGTAGAAGAAACAAGACCTTCGGAAAGCCAAGCTAAAACAAATGATGTAGAGACACATGAAGAAGTTCAAACTGAAGTTAAAAGTTCACTTCGAAATCGTAATTATTTACGAGCGCCTACAAGATTTGATGACTTTGTGATGACTGCTTCAGAAGAGGTAATGAACTCACAACAAGAACCTGAAACGTACAACGAAGCAATGAAAAGTAAAGATAAAAAGAAATGGCTTGAAGCGATGCTGAGTGAAATGACTTCTCTAGAAGAGAATCAAACTTGGGATCTGGTGGAGCTACCTAAAGGTAGGAAAGCTCTTTCTAGTAAATGGATTTATAAAATAACAACTAACCCTGATGGAAGTATTGATCGATATGAAGCTAGGTTAGTTGTAAAAGGATATTCACAAAAACCTGGTGTGGATTATGATAAAACATTCAGCCCAGTTGTCCGCTTGAGTACAATCAGAGCAATGTTAGGAGTAGCTGCAAAAGAAAATTTATCTCTTTGTCAATTTGACGTATCAGCATTCCTCAATGGGTCAGTTGTAGAAAAAATATTTATCAAACAACCTGAAGGTTACAACGATGGTACAAACAGGGTCTGCTGTTTGAAAAGACAGTTCTTATAATCTTGGTCTGTAGAGTGGCTTCGTAAACATGTCGGCTAGTTGATATTCCGATGAGACATGCTTCACTAATAGATGCCCGTCCATTACACATTCCCTGACATAAAAATGCTTGCGCTTGATATGCTTTGTCCTTTTATGATATTCATATGCAGGGTTGTGAGCTAATTTTATTGCAGATTCATTGTCCACATAGAGAATTGGTTGCTTGTCTAGTTCCGTTAATTCAGATAGTAACTCTTTTAGCCAAATAATTTCCTGGGTTGCTTCACTAACAGCCATAAGTTCAGCCTCTGTCGAAGACAAGGCTACTATTCCTTGTTGTTGACTTTTCCAACTTATAGCCTGAGTAAAGGCATATTATTCCTGTGGTAGAGTGACAAGTTTCTTGATCATCAGAGAAATCTGCATCACTGTAACAATTTAAATTTCCTGTGATATCAGTCTTAAATGTTAGCCCCTTATCTACTGATCCTTTCAGATAGCGAAGTATTCTTTTTACCCCAATAACATCCCGTTTCGTTGGTTTTTCTAAATTTCTGGAGGCAACACTCACTGCGTAACTGATATCTGGTCTTGTCCCTACCATTAAATATGACTGTGCTCCAACTGCCTGGCGATAAGGAAATTTGCTTTCATCTAGAGATGTATCTTCACTGTTTTCTTTTATTATTGGTGTTAAAGCTGGTTTGGAGTCAGACATGCAATTTCTTTGTATAGGCTTTCTGACTTAATGTTATATATCCATCATTAGATTTTTCTAGTTCGAGTCCTAGAAAGTAACTTGCAAAAAATGAAGACAGATCATATATGAAATGCAAAAAGTATGTGAGAAAAATCTGCCAAGTAAAAAAAATTAAATATATGAATAATAATCAATAATTACAAAAATTAAATACAGTAACCTGGCCAATAAAATAAGTCCCACATTTTCATTGTTGTTGCATGAACAACTGACAAATTTTAAGATACATGTTAAGGGTCGCAATTCGACGACTGAAGACAAAATTATAGCCCCCAGACTATATAAGAGGTCCCTGACTTGCTATAGATTTTTAAGAAGAATGTTTTGTCTTCTTGCACCTACAACTTTAAATGTTTTACTAAGTAAGTTTTCTATGAATATTGGCATAAGCAAACAAATATTTGAAATTATTGACAAATACTTCAATTATCAATAAATATCTTCAATAAATTATGATGAAAATTTAATAAGAAGTTTATTGTCCCCATCTGACTCTGTGACATTAATATAAAAAAGAAAAACAAACGTAGGGCAAGCTTTACTAATTACACACGAAAAAATCAAATAAAAAAGGGACAAAAATATATGGACAGACTCTACCTGAATTCTACCGTAAAGTTGTGTCTGAATATAAGAAAAAAACCTGATGTACATAGGGAATCTGTCGCCACCTTCCAGACTGCACACCCTGAAAAACATAGGCAATCTGCTGCACTATATCAGGCCAGGAATACCAAACTGCATAGAGTGATTCAGTCACGGTATAGAGAACATACAACTCTGTGTGTATGGAGTAGCAATTTGCTTTCGAATTTGGCGTATGACCCAGATATTTCTTATGGAACTGACAGTAGTGTAGTCTTAGGTTGTATGACGTACAAGTGTCAGTCGTGTAACGCCTTGAAGTGGAAAGATGAGACACCTGGCACGTGTTGTAGCGTCTGTAAAGTACAACTTGAGCCGTTTACACAACTGCCTGAACCACTTTACAGTCTTGTTAATGATTTACGCCCAAATCATGTACATTACGTGGATAATATCCGAAAATATAATGCCTGTTTTCATATGGCTTCCTTCGGTGGAAAACAAATAAATGAAGGCGGTTTTTCACCAACTTTTAAAGTTCAAGGACAAGTCTATCATTTAATTAGAAGTATATTACCGGAACCTGGGCAGGATATACAGTTTCTGCAAATTTATTTCGTCTCTGAAGATGATGTAGAAGCTAATATTCGATGTTCTAAATTTCCTGGATTTAATACCAAATTTAATCAAATAATTCCAGCTTACGTAACATGAGGTGAACCCATACATAAAAGATCTAAAAACAGCTATTGATAAAATATCGCCTTCAGAGTCATTCAAGGTCGTAATACATGCAGATAAAAAACCACAAAGAGAACACAGGCAGATGTAATGCACCAACGGCAAATGAAGTGGCTGTTGTATTGGTAGATCAGCATTTTGACCGAAGAGACATTATCCTCGAAAGCCGAAGTAACTTACTTCAGCGTATCAGTGAGATACATCGAGCTTATGACGCGCTGCAAGTACCCGTTGATGTTTGGCTGGGGGGATGATGGCTATTCAATCAACATACCACAATGCGATCCCAAACTAAGTTGCCCATGAAAAAAACAGTCTCTGCTGTAAGTTTTTATTCATATAGAATAATTATCAGAGAAGAAGATAACTTTTTAGTGATTTGATCATTTATAATAACAATGTCGTGTAATAAAGACTCGCCTAGTGATTCTACGGATAGTGATACCACGGTGTGTCGAATCGGTGTAAAATTGCCACCATTTTGGCCGGACCAGCCCGCGCTATGGTTTGCGCAGCTTGGTGGGCAATTTGCGTTATCAAACATAACGACGGACGCAACAAAATTTTACCATGTCATATCTGTGCCCGATTATAAATACGCTACTGAGGTGGAGGATATAATAATGAAACCGCCTACAACGGACAAGTATGAGACATTAAAACAATGTAGTGAGCTAACTACCCGTCTGTCTGAGAGCAAGCACCAACGATGCTCCCAACTTTTAAACAGGCAAAAACTGGAAGACAGGAAACCTAGCCAATTTCTTCAACGTCTTCGTAGTCTTGCTGATAATAATATCGCCGATGACTTTTTTCGATCCATGTGGTTAAATAGACTACCTGGTTACTTATAAACCATTATTGCTACCCAGGAACAGTCAAGCCTGGATGACGTAGCTCAGCTGGCAGATAACATTTTAGAGATGACACCGCATACGAGTTTACCGCAGGTGGCCACAATTTCTACAATGCCAACGCAATAAGTGGCAGCAGCTGTATCACCTGCACAAACATTGCAGAAATCAATCGCAAGCTTGACGAGTTGACGCGTCGTTTAGATGCTATGTCGATGCCACGAGGATTTTGCAATTGTAGCAGACACTCCAGATACCAATCACATAGTCAGCAATGTGTCCGTTCTCGCAGCCGTTACAGCGCGGGTGGACAGCGTCTGTGTTGGTATCACGCACGTTTTTATGTAAGCCCCTCCTGGCGCCAAAGCTGGATCCACCTTTCGTCGACACCGAAAAAAGCGGTATGGCGGCCTTTTCACATGTATGTGATGTCTACATCACGACCCATACACATCGAAGTAGTGCATACCCTCAGCGCTCACTCAGCCATCGCCGCCCTAAGAAGATTCATGGCTCGGCGGGGCTGTCCGACTGAGATATGGAGCGACAACGCTGTGTGCTTTAAGGCACTAAAAAAGGAAGGTCAAGCACTATCCTATCCTATAAACAATTACTTGAACGACGAACATGCATGGCAATAGTAGTTCATGCAAGGGATCATTTAATTGCGTAGTTAGCCGATGAGCGCTTGTTATTGTATTTACTACGTGACTGTGCTATTCATTATAATAATAGTGTAATTATGGGATCGAAGCCAAAAAAGAAATATCAAGAGCAAGACAAAAAAGGCGTTTAGGTCGTCGTTGCTTGCCGACGTCTATCATAGGCAGACCACAGCTGTCATCTCAAGAGGAATTTGCATATGATGAAACTCTAATAATAGTTTTTTAAATAATAATATTCGTTAGATTATCACCCTCAAACGTTGTTGATAACCATGGAGATCCGTTAGGTAGAGGACATTTCTAACATGTATGGCTAGAATGAAAAAATGCTATTATTTAATTGCTCTTCAAAATTAAAAGATTATACCTACCCACAGTTGATAGGATCAATTACAACTGCAAGATATAAACCATAGAATTACAAATTAAAGGAATTTAAAAGTAAATTATTAACAGCATTCCAGGTCCTATTGATGTTTAGGTGACGACGTTTATGCAGTTATTTTCCTTGAACGATTACAGAAATATGGTTCTCTTATTACCCAGAATTCCCGAATAGGATGGTTAGTATCTGGTATTACCCACACACAAACTGATTTACCTACACACAATATCATAGTCGGCACAACAATAGTAGAGGTAGGTCAGTTACTGTAAAAATACTGGGAAACAGAGGAATATATGTCACAAGAGTGAAGAACATTACAAAAACACATACACGAACAACCAGATGGACGAAGAAAATTTAATTTGTTTTTCTGTTGTTAGCACTGAATCGATTACTAAATATGGAAAAAAGATTTAAAAACAAAGCAACATCTAAAGAATAATATACAATTTTCATTACAGAATATCAAAATCTTAATCATATGGAAGATGTTATCTACATCTTCCTTAACGAAAAGACAAATCATAAAGTTTATTATTTATCTCACCACGCTATGATTCGTAAAGACAACCAAACTTCGAGTAGTTTTTGATGGTACCGCTCAACCTTCAGACAGGTCATCGCTTAATGATGAATTACTAATTGAGCATACGTTGCAACAGGATATGCGAGATCGTTCATATACATGTGATTATCAGCATCGTAGACGGCGAGAGGATATTCAGTGCGACTATCCGAAACCAATTGTCTTACAACTCTCATCGGGAGAAAGGGAGAACTAGAGACTCTGAATGGGACTCTGTTAAATAGATAAGTTTGTATATTAATTTCTGAATCGAATCTTTAAAATGGTTTATGATCAAACGTGAGTTTAATACAGAAATACATTCGTTCTATGTCAGCCGTTACAGCAATAGCAAACATGCGTAAATTCATCAACAAATCAAAAATATTAGTTTGTTAATTACAACCTCTATAAAGTATGTCGTTAAGTGATAAACCGGACATGGTCTTACAACCAGCGTTGAGAACTATGCGAGTTTTTGAAGTCTGTTTATCAGGGCGATAAATAGCTCTTTGCGGTATATAGTAATGTTCAGTCGTATGTAGGATTTTTTACTATACTGAAATAGCCTTTATCGATATAATCTTGAATAGTGGAGTTATAATCTTAACATAGATCGGGTTGTGAGTCTAATTTATTTTCTAGTTGTAATACTGACGTTTTGCACTAGCGTATGAATTTCCTAATTTCGAGGGCAATTTAAATGGTAGAAGCACAGTATATTGACCTGTGTTATCTCGTGAATAAGTCGATTTAAAATTGTTTTCACAGATCTCGTCTTCTATACTCATATGAATCTTAGATGGAACACTTTCTTCTCATCAAGCAGAAGCGAGTCTGATTGACAGAAAAATAATTTGTTATTATTTGAAAGCATACTGTACTGAGAATGTGAGCCCCAGTCAGCCTTTCCATGACTATATAACCGAGTGTAGTCTCTAAACCATTAACTGATGAAGTAGGTGATGTCACATTATCACTACCAAGCAATATAGAGAACAATTCATTCCCCACAAGACAGACAACACTGCTAGGTCAGTAGATATCATCACACATGAGTGGCAGAGATTGCAAGTGTTCTAATTGCTATACATCGACCACCTACCATCGGCCTAACGCGAACATTCTGTAAATAAGGCTCTATGATATCATGGGGAGATTAAGGAATTATAAATAAAGTAATAATTTGATTTCAATTTGATAATAGTAATAATTTACTTATTTTGGGCATCAACATACCCCACCATATCCTCAATATTATTTCACCACATTAAAAAAGGAACCTGACTTCCCTGTGTACAAGTCTTGAAATGTCATCCGATGAGAAATATTTGAAAAAGTTCAATTCTGTTTTGATAATGGCATTATTTTTCAGAAGAAAAAATGCCATTATCAAAACAGAACAGTCAAGAATGACATAAAAAATAATGTAGGAAAAGATTGGATGCAAACTCCCATGGATAGAGAAGGTTGGCAGAAGATGGATGAGGCTTTTGCCCAAGGGTGGCCCTCATAATAAAAAAAATAAAAAAGATAATAATAATATTTGTAAAATATGTGGTATATGGATATTAAAGCTATAATAATAATAATAATGACATTATTTCATATTCCCTCCGACCAAATGCAACAAATATCATACAACCTAATGTCAGTATTTTAAACAAAGAACAAGTACAACAACATGAAAGAATCATAAAAAGACTGAAATATTAACACCTGATTATATTGATACCTTAGCAACCCTTAATTTGCATACCGTTCTGATTAAAGAACTTTCCTAAACAAGCAACATGCAACTTGCTGACAGAAAGAGAGACGAGATGATTTAGAACCAATTGAACAGGCCAACCAATGTTCTTCCACATCGGCCTATGACTTAGGACAAACTGAGTAAATAGAATGTACATTAAATATCTTCAAAATTGTATAAAATCAAGTTATTGATTTAAGACTTGTATACGACATCTAAACAAAATTTCACCAAGACACGCCGATACAAATCGACGTTATTATTGATAAATGCGATCAACCAATTATACATAATACTGTATACTTTCGATACCAATACAATTATCTACGATAAAAATAGGATTCTTCTCGACTTTGCGTAACAGAGAAACGAATACGAAAAACAATTTTGAGGCTTTGGTGCCTCCTTGCAATGTTCGCAGTCATCAACAAGAAACATTGAATTACAATATATTGCCTCAAGAATAGAACTTCAACCAATAAACTGAAACATTTTAATATAACACCTAAATGTTATTTTAGATTATCGTTATAAATTTCCTCACAAATGAAAAGAAAATTAAAGTTAGAACGATAAAACCGGTTGTCAAACCAAAAGACAAGTTTTTTTTCTTTTTGTGCAAAAGACAAAACATAAACAAACATAGACATTAGCCAATGTGTTTTTTTTAGACAGTTTTGCGTACTCTATACTCAACTTGATGTACTGCATGATTATTACGTCAAGTCACTATATATTATTATAACGTTTGTGCACAAACTATATAAATATATACTATTACAGCAATTTGCCGTACAAAACATACGTCATGTTTTCTATAAAAATTGCTATATGAAATTATGTTTCTTGTAAAATTGTAATAATAAATTAAATTGTTATTCTAATAGTCTAGTTTATTATATAAATCTTTCTTAGACACTACCGATTGAATTTTAATTAATCGGAGTTGATGTACTGTCTAATTGGGCTCAAAAGAACTTACACCCGGAGCCGTAAAATTAATTTTAATACCATGGCGCCCTCTGTTAGTACTAGATGTATATGTCAGTTTGGTAATGACGTTTCTTTGTTTACACTTTTAGTTGTTTTTTTTACTTTTTATTTATTTTGTCATTTGCCGCTTAAAATATAAGTAATAGCTATATAACTTATGTTTTTATCCATTAAAAGTGAAGTGAGGCAATTCACTTCGTAGCGCTTCGATATTTTCAATATCAGGTACCGCAGAACAAATTTTAATGATTAAATAATAGTATAAAATGAGATTTCATATTCACTATCAACAGTGTGGTGGGTATATTATGTATATATATATATATACCCTAATTAGCTATATAAGTATACACTACTAGCTGCCAACGCGATTTCACCCGGACGAAATTTGTAGCCTAGGCTATGTGTTATGTTATATATGTTTATAAAGGTTCTTCAAAATCCATTCAGTAGTTTTTGCGTGAAAGAGTAACATACATCAAAGAAATTATAATGATGGTTCCCAAGGGAAACATGTTGAGGTCAACCTGACATGGTACATTGCTAGCTATGGTGCTATTAGTCCACATTACTAACAATTCCTTCGTCCTTGTAAGCAACGGTTATCAATTACCATCAGGTGGGGTGTGAGCTTATTTACCATTACACTATACATATATAATATTATTTTTCTTATTATATTTGTTCTATGTGTGCAATAAAGAGTTTCGGGGCTGTTTAAGTATTATGTAAACACTGAGGGGGTGGGGGTCTTTGCTTTGCTTATTTTGGATGATATGGGGGGGGTAGGGAAGTATAGATAGTGATTACGTCATCACTAGTTATTTACTTTTTTACATAAATGGCAACCTTCACATTGTCTTTGTTAAAAAAGCTTTGCTTACTTTTGCTGACAAGGGGATGGGGGGGTAAATAATTGTAATAAATCTGCTAATGTAATACTTGAACAGCCCCTTATTATAATATGTATATCTGCATATACTTTGGGAGCACCCTATTTAAACATATATATTTTTTTCAATATATCATAATATACACTTAATAACAATATTTTTCAATTTCAGAACATCAGAATACATATTAGTGTGTCCTGTAATTCAGCAATGGAAGGTTGTCTAGTTTAAAAAGGTATTATAACTGTTTTATACAAGTAATATATGAATGTTATGACTGAACTAACAACTTTGACGACATTAAAATGCAAACAGCAAGCCATACGAGCTGTAAGATTCAACATAGATGGTACCTACTGCCTCACATGTGGGGCAGACAAAAAGATAAAGCTCTGGAATCCTCACAGGGAACTACTCCTGAAAACCTATGGAGGTCATGCTAATGAGGTCTTAGATGCAGCTGGATCTTGTGACAGCAGCTATATTGTATCAGGAAGTGCAGATAAATCTGTAATCTTATGGGACGTAACCACAGGACAACCGATACGGCGATACCGCGGCCAAGCCAGTTCTATAACATGTGTGAGGTTCAACGAAGAATCGACTATGGCAGTTTCAGGATCCATAGACAACACTGTCGCTTTTTGGGATGTCGTCAGTCGAAGACAAGAGCCTGTGCAACTGTTAAAAGATGCTAAAGATACTATAACTTCAATACAAGTAACGGATCATGAAGTTATGACTACATCTGTTGATTGTCATGTACGATTGTATGATATTAGGGTTGGTAAGATGATTTCAGATTATATTGGAGATGTAATCACATATGGGAGCATGACACATGATGGCCAGTGTTACATACTCAGCTGTTCGGATGGAACTATTAAATTATTTGATAAAGACTCTGGGGAATTGCTAAATACTTTTAAAGGGCATGAAAGTAGCGATTATTTGTTGGAGAATGCCGTAAATGAGAAGGATAGCCACATAATATCCGGGTCTGCTACTGGTGAGGTTTTTTACTGGGACTTAATAAGCAGTAGTTGTACACAGAAGTTAGTTCACACTACAAATAAGCCAACTATATCTCTGAGTCATCATCCAACTGAAAACTATCTGCTGACAGCATGTGAAGATGAAATAAAATTGTGGGGTGTTCGACGTGAAGAAAACTAAACTTTTTTTATGATTCTGTATGGCTATTATAATAAAAACTGTTTTAGACATAATTTTTTATTAAAGAAATCTATACATATAAATAAAATTGGAGTGTCTGTTTGTAATATTGAAATAACAGTTTTTTTACTATATGCATATGAATATAAATACGGTACATACACCAAAATGACATTTTTTATTATTTTTGTCTGTTTGTTCCGGCTAATCTTCAGTATTTGGAAGGTAGCTAATGTAATGAGTAGTACAAGAAGTAATTTAGGATACTTTTACTTTAGATTAATAAAGTTAAATTCCACGCGGACGAAGTCGCGAGTACAGCTAGTATAGAAATAACGTTTTTGTAATTATATATTTTGTTACCTAAGTAACAGTCATACATATATCATTGTGACTGTTTCCAGATGAAAAATTGAAAATAATGTAGGTATATATTAACTTCAACAACCGATGATATTCGAGACTTGAATGTAAAAATATTTTCATGATAAAGGCAAAGGAACATAATACTTTATAAAGCCAAAGCCGTAATAAAGTGATTAGAAGATTATATTTTCAATAACTCTTCCCTTTCTTTTGCACAATTGCCAGACAGTTTAGAAATAAAGTGACTATGGTAGAATTTGGAATTAGTTGTTTTCAATGAAGCTCAATAAACAACTGGTACTAATTTTATTTGGTGTATTATACCATTAAATTATTATCAAAAATATATTTATTACGTTATATGCAACACCGATAATATAAATTCCATGTTTATAACTAAAGTCGGAGTAATGGCCTAATTTGATTATAATAACCTGGTAACACCTATCAGTAAATATCAAACTCAAAATATAAATAAACAATATGTCACACCAACTAAATCGGTCGTATAATATGTGATCGTTGATATTTATATCGCTTCTTTTGCTATTTGACAATATTTTACGTCTATATTGAACTTAGAATGGGTGCAACATGTGTTGTGGATAATTGCAAGCGGGAGTCTTATCCAGGTTGCGGGATATCTTTTCACAGGTAACTATTTGAATTTGGACCAGTAGTGTGACCATCCGTTTAATTTCATTTTAAGGACATTCATTTCAGTGTTTGGGAACTACCTACTAAATGGCTTAATCTTCACAAATTTGGAAAGTTTGTGTACATTAAGCCAGTTAGTAGGTATATTTTTAATTAATTGAATATTATAGTCATTTTTAGTTTTCTGGAATTTGTACCTAAGTTATTCTTAAGAAATTTAATAAATTATCAGTAATGAACGGTAGTAGTTTCTATTTATTTATCCTTGTTATTGAATTCTAAAACTTAACTTTTTATAGAAAAAAATTTGGTGTTAGTTTCATACGTATTTACATTGTGTTAACGTTTAAGTGGTCGTTACCATGTAGCATGTCGGTACACGTCCAGTCTCCTGTGACGCAATATGGGGGGAAAAGGGGATTATTAGTAATGTGGCCTAATAACCTCATTACTAGCAATGCACCATGTCCGGTTGCCCTCCACGCGGTCCCCACTGGAAACTGTCGTGTTTAATTGCCATTTTCCAAGATGGACTAACTGACTTCACCTCATTTTCATTTTATCATCCTTCACTGGTGCCCCGCCAGCGTAAACCGTTAGCGCAGGTGCATGATTATTGTGCATATCACCCATAAAAAATGTAAATATAGCCCGGCGAGTTAAGGTACGCACAGATGTAGCGACCGCCTAGTCACGCAAGTCCACAGCAGTTAAAGTATTAATGACGATATATCTATCTGGTATATTATTTTCAGATTGCCTCTTAATCCAGAATTAAGAAAAAAATGGATCGATGTACTTCCTAACAAAATAAGGCATAAACATCCAGTAATTTGCAGTTTACATTTTAAACCAGATGATTATAGGACGGCTAGTCAACAAACATTGAAAGCCTCAGCGATTCCTTCTATTTTTAAAAAGGTATACAAACATTATTTGTTTCTAATCGATTTAATTAGAAAAAATTGTTCTTTAGAACCTTTTTATTAGTTATTCAAATGAAATGTCTAAATAAATAAACAATAGTTGTACAATATTTTATAATATTATGTAAAATAATAGAAGTTAAATATTTAAAAATATATATTTAAAGTTAAATTTATATTCCAGTATAAAAGAAATGTCATAAATATTGGTTCATTACGTGTTCTTGAAAACAATTCATCGGATTCTGAATCATTTCTCACCAGCAGTGACGATTCTGAAAGCGAAGAAGCATATTACACGAGGATTGCGTCAAACACAAGGTAAGTTGTTCCCGTACACAATAAGAAATTGCCTCAATTAAAAGTATTAAAACTTCTTTTTGAACTTTACAATCAGTTTTGTCTAGATCATATTTTTACATTATGTATGTCCCTAGACAATTCACATAATATATACGAACAATAACTATGTAGTCTTACACAGGGTGTCAAGCATGAGAAAAATTAGAAAAAAATCTATCCATGCAGTTTAAAGATTAAGAACATTTAAGAAAAACCTCGAATTTGGTCAAACTGTAACCATTAGTTTGTTAACCAACAGGTTATTGTGGTTAATTTTTATTATTTTTGTTCATTTAAACTTTGGAACCCTAACCCTAAATAACTTTTCTAGGATACACACACAGTCAAATATAATAACGCAATTGCCCTAACTTTTCTAGAATTAAGACTATTTGTTAAACATTAAATTAAAATTTTCAAACTTAGTCGATTTTTGAAAAAAGTGTACAAATGTGCCTCGGTAAGAAACATTAAAATTTCGCGCATTTAATCAGGATTGTAAAATGGTACAATACTTGTTAGTTTCATACTAAAAGAAAACCGAGAAAAAAAAAATAAGCACCTCAAGTTTTTTGCTAACCCATTTTACTCAGTCAAATGTTTTTATTCGCTCAAGTTCTTGGTAGGCACTTAATTTTGCGGCAAAATGATGTGAGAGATGGATAGTGGATAGGTTTACTTGTCCTTCCAAATCATAACAAAAAATTTGGTCACTATATCAGAATGGGACGGCGTCCTTCCATAATTTCATAACCTAACTTGCACTCGGGCACAGAACATTAAATAGCTTGTACATGTACGTACACCGGAATTAAAACAGTTTAGTAAAAATTATCTTAAAAGTATATCTTAATCAACAAACACTTCCCATTTATTTAAAATGTCTCGTTGATATTAATTTGTAGCTCCAAATATTTGTAGATTAATGCTTTTAATAGAGTTGGTGTTACTAGAGTCTGGACTTTTAATTTATTGATCTGTGCATGTTTAACACCATAATCTATTTATAGACATCTTAACTGTCAGTTTAATCGCGCGCGTCATTCATTATAATTTAATTCGGTATGTAGTTATGTACGCTCTCTACCGCGTTATTTAATACCAAAACATTATAGTTAATTATGAAAATGGGTGCTAAAAATCCAGCAAAACTGAAACTCCGGCGGCCCTTGTATAAATGCAACATTTGTGATAGGAAATTATTGAGTGCGCAAGCATTAAAAACGCATCAATATTGTATACATAGGACTTCAAAACGTTTACATGATATTAAGCCTGTAGTGAATAGAGGGCATGTTAGTGTTAAAAAAGGTGCTCCTGTTAAGGCGAGAGGGCTACCAGAGCTGACGATTGAGAGTGTGAGACAAAAAGATGTGCCTGTGCCGAAAAAAAAGAAACTTATCGAATTTAAGTGCCCGCGTTGTGAGAAATTGTTTCCTGTTTACTTCTCAGCGTTACGACATATACAGAAGCACCACTGCTTCGACAGCAGTGGTCAGAAAGTGTTAGTATTCATTTAAATTCGACAACCCCGCCCTGGCTTCGGTCGGGTGCTCTTAACTTTAATAATTTTATACAAAACTAGAGACTTGTCCCAGCTTCCAACTGATGCATTAAAATCTTTAATATTCTCAGATTGTTGTATATTATAACATGCATGTATTATTTTATATAGATAAAACTTGCTGTTGAATCACTCTATTTTAGAAAACTATGTTCAAATCCATTGCATAGTTTAAAAGATAAGTGAACAGAGGACTTTGCTTTGTGCTATGTAATGATAAAGATATATGAATATTAACATCAAATACAGCAAATATTGCCATATGTACACTTTATTTTTGTGCATTGAAGTTAAATAAATAAATACAATACTGTGACAAATAGAAATAAATAAAAACAATTACAAAGTACAAATATGTCAAGTCGGAAATGAATAACTAATCAAATTTAATAATAAAAGAAACTTGTATGTTGCTCTTTATGATCGATTTTTTTTATAAATAATCATACAATAACAAGTAAGAGGCATATAATAATCAACTTAGAAACCTCTACACACCCATTCTTAGTGCAACCAGACATTGTCAGCGCTATGAATTTTAAGTTTTTATACAAAAACATTATTATTCAGTTAACTCTTCAGTTTTATATATGCTTTTATACAAAGGAAGTGTTTTATATGATATATAGAGATATTGTTAACTAACAATGTAAAAAGGAGGATTTCTTCTATAAACCACAATTTTTTTTTTTTTTTTATTTATAGCCTTTGTGCTGACAATCATCAGCTTGTCCCAAGACATAGGCCTCCTCCAAAAGACTCCAACCTCCTCTGTCCAATGCCTTCCTTCTCCATGTTGGCCCGCCACTGCCCTTATATCATCCACCCACCTCTTTTTCTGTCATCCTCGTTTTCTTCTTTGTTCTCTTGGATATCTACGTATAACATCCTTAGTCCATTTCTCTTTCTTACTTCTTATTGCATGTCCTGTCCACTTCCATTTTAGTTTCTTAATGGTTTTGACTGCATCTGTCATTTTGGTTTTTTCTCTTATATTAGTGAGTTTGATTTTGTCTCTAAGTTTGATGTTTAGAATGCTTCATTCCATGTTATTTTGACATACCTTTATTTTATTCATATTTTTTGTTGTGCAATCCCATGTTTGGCAGCCATATGTTAGACAGGGAATAATACAGGAGTCATATATTATAATATAATATATAAACCACTAAGTGTCTATAAATATTTGTTTTTTATTTATTACAGCCAACCAAACTCACCAGATTTAATCAAACCAATACAAGTGGAACGATGCCAAAAATGCAACGGCACTATAGGAACTGAAGCAAAACACACCTGCGGCGATGCAGTCGCACAGCACGAGAGGGGGCTCATAAACAACTATGTGTGCACGGGATGTTCACAGAGCTTCGAGACAATGCAAGTGTTTGATTTGCATATATCAGGGCTGCACAGCGATGATGTGGAGAGCATGTTCTTCCCTACAATGACTGGTAATTACTAGTTTAAGTATGTGTACACATCCCTTTAGGGTTTAGGGATATGACCTACTTGGTTAAGAACATGGCAGCTTCAAATGATACAGTCAAGGGACAGAATAGAAGTGTGACCTTTTTGTACTACTCTAATGCTGTTGGCCGCAGGTGGCCTTTACAGCTTCACCTGACTATAGGGAGGGAGTGCAGATGGCATTCCAAACCAAGGGAAAGAGTTATGGAGCGGCTGAAGGCTAACTCCCGCCTGACGATACGACTAGTCTGAGGGCACTGCTAGTTCGAACCTAGGCCGTCGTAATTTCGATCCCTGTTTGAATAGAAGGGGAATGTGTTTAATTGAAATGTTCTGGTGTTTTGTACAAAATTACATGTATCGTGCGTACACGCGTCACTGTGAGGAAACAATAAGTACTTTTTTTCCGAAGCAACCATTGGAAGTAAAGGATCTGATTAACTGCTATACCACAGAGTCCATCGTTTATTATAAATGTATATATTTACAAAAAAGATGTATATAATCAGTTGTCTATTACCCATAACACAAGCTCTGCTTAGCTAGGTACTAGATGGTGTTGTGTGAATTGTCTTGAGATATTATTATTATTATAATACATATCCCATTTTAGAACGAGAGAGACAACTCTATTAATGTCTAACTTGTTCAAACATAACTTAATAATACATGTCGACTTTCAGAATTTTTATCATGGAAAAATCACATGGAAACGCAGATAAATATAAAATATCTAATATTAAGCAAGTGTAATTCAAAGCACACATATCGATGTACATTTCTACCCAGTGAGGAGCCCACGGACAATATGACGGCTCTGTTCTGTCCATCTAGCATTGTAGTCCAAGAATTCTCTAAAGGTATGAATCCAAACTTATTATATCATCTATACATCTATACATATAAATAAAATTGGAGTGTCTGTTTGTAATATAGAAATAAGCGTTTTTTACTACATGCATATGAACATAAATATGGTACATACACCAAAATAACATTTTTTACCATTTTTGTCTGTCGGTCTGTTTGTTCCGGCTAATCTCTGAAATGGCTGGACCGATTTTAAAGAGACTTTTTTGGCAGGTAGCTGATATATTAAGGAGTAACTTAGGCTACTTTTATTTTAGAAAAATAAAGTTAAATTCCACGCGTGCGAAATCGCGGGAACAGCTAGTAATAAATATAATTATATATACATTGTTTACTAATACCAATGAAAAGGTAAATAGCAACTGTCCCCTGTATTTTAATGCATGTATATGCATAAAAATGTATTGAAAACTATACTATCTCAATCAGTTAGTGAGTATGCATAGTACAAGCTGTGCTTTGTTTGACTAGATAGCGTTGTGTTAATTGTTCTTGGTTACTATTATTGTTTTATTGAATTTTGATTACTATTCTATTTTCTTCAGGTATTCAAGTTCATTATTATAAGCAGCATTTTGGACACCAGTGTTCTGCTTACACACTAATAGATAAATATAAAAAATATCATATAACATCATTCATAGAAAATGCGGCGCATTACGAATATACCACGGTTGTAGAAGAGGACGATAAAGATTTATATGTACAGTTCAAAACGCTAATGGAATCAATAGTATTAGAAGCAGCGAAAGTTAAAATTGACACGTTAAAGGTATTTGTGGGGAAGGCGCTAGAGATGACGACAATGCTAACTAATTACGAGGAAGACGAAGAAATGACATCACTAATAAAATCAAACACATCAAATAAAAATATGTCTGATGACCAAATATCACAGGCATTGCAAAACTTGCAGAACTCTAAGATTCATAAACGGAAATTAGATAATGATGTAGCACCTGATAAAAAAAAGAAACGTAATACTGACATTACTCATTTGTCGCCAAAAATTGTCAATGCATTCTCTATGGCTGGTATCCAGGATAAGGAAAATGGTAAAAAAGATTTAATAGTTGAAAAACAAACGACAATTAGTGATAATGAAGTGGAGAAAACAAAGCAAAATGACACTAAGTCTGTTAGTGACGATGAAGATGCAAAAACACAGAAAGCAAATAAAACAAATAGCGATGATGAGGCTGCCAAAAAGGTATATAACTCATTAATGCAGTCACCATCTTACAATGATACATACAAAGATTTTCTAGACAAGAATTTTAAAAAAGGTACAGAAACAAAAACTATGGTTAAGAAAGGTTCGAATACTGTCACACCAACCGTGAATGTTGCAAACAAAAAAGATAACATCTCTAAAACAAAAGCAGATACGGCCACTAACTATCTTCTAGTTGATGGTGTGAAAGGTATATCCACTTCAAATGTTAGTACAATTGGAAAAACCATTGTCAATCAATCAACTTCAAATATTGTTCCAAAACAGACCATAAATAAAAAAGATAAACTAATTACGAAGAGTGATGTAACACCAAAAACTGAGTCTAAAAATACATCGCCTCTTTTGAAAACAACTGAAATGAAGAAAACTGCTAATGCTGCTCCAAAGTTAGTTAAAAAGCCTGTTGTTAAAACTAAAATAGGTCAATTCAAACCTAGTTTATCTCCAAGAAAATCTACCGAGTCGAATACATCTAACAGTGCTCTTAATAAATCAGCAGTGGATGTGGAATATGAAGTTATGGAACAAGAGGACGATTGTAACATATTAATTTTAAAGATATAGTAGTTTAGCAGTATTGTACTAGTATTTAAAAACGCTGGTGAGAATGTAAAATTATGTATACATTTTCTTCTGACCCCTGTATATTCCTTTAGAGAGAGTTTGTACCGCAAAACTGGCAACATTTTTGTAGCTGTCAAAATTCAAATAATTTTAATCTACACTAAATATTAAAGCTGAAGAGTTTGTTGATTTGATCGCGCTAATCTCAGGAACTATGGGTTCGAATTGAAAAAATGTTTTTGTGTTGGATAGTCCATTTGTCTAGGAAGGTTTTAAGCTATATAACATTACGCTACGACCAATAGGAGTGGAGCTGCGATGAAAAATATTGCAAAGTTGGGGAAATGAAATGCAGACGTAGTTATCGCGCGACGCGCGGGTCAGTTAGTTAAATTATAAATGACAAAATTATTATGTATGTAATTGGAATGATAAACAAGCCTACGGTCCATTTTGGTCATTAATTTAATCTCTGAATAGCTACAAATCAAGTGGCTGAGATATGTCAATTATGAAATCTGCGGTAGAAAAAAAACAATGTTATTTTTGTATTTTATTTTTGAGTTTCTTATTAAACTCCTTATTATTTTTATATTTTATGGTAAGAGTCGTTTTTAATTTGTATGTGCATAAATTTTCTTTTAATTATCATCTAGAAATAACGATGGAATATTGTTCATTCTTCTATCAATTTAAAGCTTGTACGAATATATAATGTTATATACCAGTTATTATATTACTGTAAAAATAAATTGCTTGTTTTAAAAATCTGTTAGTTGTTTTTAAATAATCGTTCAGAAATGATTGATTGGTATTTTTTAAGTGTAATTTTAATTATAGTCTGTGTTACTATTTGAGTTAAAATAATTATTCAGATCAGATAACCAGATTGATAATTGGTTTTAAAAATAACAAATCATTTAGTGTTGTACAACAATTTTGAAATAATTATTCAGAAATAAGGTTTCAATATTGTTAATAGTTAATTCAATAATATACATATAGCTGTGTAACTTTTTTTTAAAGTGACACAACCGGACTTTGGAAGGACAATTTAATTAATTTATAGAAAATCCTATCCAATTATACACTTAAATATTTTTCGGTAATCACTCCTATTAAAATCTGATTTTTGAGGTTCTAACAGCGATAGGGCACTTTTTTTTTGTTTTATTTATCCTTAATGGAAAGGCAATCGTTAGACAGATTCGTTCAGAAATAAATGTTGACAGATAAAACAAATGCCAGATATGTATGTAGTGGTATGAACACTCTTTAATATGTTATTATAGATTATTTTTTTATAATCATTGTATTGTATTATAGTCCTTAGGCATTATATTGATTGAGCAATTAAATATTAAAAAAGCAATATTGATGATTTTTAAGACATTTATTTTAATAATTTTAGTTAAAATAGATTATTATTAGTACTTACTTCCTTACTATAGGGTTTTTTAAGGCATAATAATGAAATGGTACGCTACGCTAACGGTATGCGCTGCCGGAGGAGCACTAGTGGAGGAGGATGAGATGAGTCAGGAGGTCAGGAGGTCAGGTCATCGTACCAAATTTACCACGAATTTGACATGATGGTCTGGTCTGGTTTGACATGAAGGTCAACCTGACATGGTACATTGATAGCAATGGCATTATTAATCCACATTCCTAACAATCTCCATCCCCCGAAAATAATCGTGTGGTTTTTCTAGAGGAACTACAAATACAAGGTAAAATTGCTCCAATAGTCGCTGGTGCAGATTTCATATGGCATGGCGTTCAGCACTCCGCTTTACTTCCGTGGGTTCCATTCCTCGCACGGTACAAACAGTTGTATTCTGGAGTATGATTGTTTGTGTCGGTATGTATTTACAAAAAAGAAAATAAGTATTTATATCAGTTATCTAATGCTCATAACACAATCTCTGCTTACATTGGAACTAGATCACGTGTGAATTGTCCAGGGGTATTATAATTATATGCTTAACTAGGAGACATTCACGGCTATTTCTTATTTTGACAATTGAACGACAGCTTGTGAAACAAGCTGTTTGGAGCTAAAAATAGTGGAGACTGATTACTACTACTACAGTATATGCATGCTAAATAATATAAAGAACGCAAACCGATGGTTCCGAGCATAAAATATTAAACAAGACATAGATTATAGGCTTTAAAATTATATTGTTTTAAACAATACATTTTACTTGTATATGTATAGATACGCTTATAGTAAATGCTTGTGCGCTAGTGGAAGCTGATGGGATGAGTATAGAGTTAGTTTATCGTGACTATTTAATTTCTACAGGCTACATATTTCATGGGAGTGACACCGCGAGCACAGCTGGTGTAGAACAAAAAAAAATTGTCGTAGTGAAATTTGGCTTTAATAGCAATAGCTTAAAAAAAATAACATCAAATGTCAATGTCATACAATCGCTAGTCATATATTGGCGGAAAAAACACAGATCATAGAATCTGTGGAAAACACATTGCCAAAAAATTTGAATGTTGTTGTTGACATTAGAATTTGAATTGTAACGATTATTTAGATAAAAGTTAGTTTTATTTGGAAGTTATCAAAATATATTGAAATAAAATAAAAAGTTTTATATTTATAGTGCTTATTTATTAAAAGTATAAGTTTTAGACATTAAAATATTCAATTTTTTTTATTTGTCACTGAAATTAACTCGTCCTTTTTCTGGTGTGTGAATTTTACGAAAATGCAGAACATGCAGTCACGTCGTATCTTAAAAACTAGTGAGTATATTATTTAAATTAGTTAATATATTTATTTTCATATTGATTATGATTTTTTCGTATAGTCTGTTTATTGATTTCATTTTTGAACAATATTCCATACAGTGTTTTTAAGTATTAACTCGACAATTAATGTTAATGGTATAAAACTTGTGAAGGTTTTTTTGTGAGGGAAGACACCTCCGAACTCTCACTATTGGGCAGTACAGCAAACCCAATATATATATATAATAATAGATATTGAATTGTTAGGTTCGTAGATAGGGCATCAATAAAAGAGGAAAGTAAAATATTATATCACAATTATATTTCTCGATGAAGTCTAAATTTACAGTCTTTATTTTCTATTGTTGTAACGATGACAAGGAATGTACAATTTTCAAATTTAGATTTTCTTTATACAAACTAAAGAGTTATTGACATCCTCCACACCAGAAGATAATTAATTAATCAAATATGTATTCTAACTGTAGAACTACAACAGTTTAAAAACAATTCATAAAATTCACAATAATTATAAGTACTAGTACATGTGGCTGAGTATACGTATATGTCAATAATGTGTGTATGCAAATTTAAAATATTTGAACAATAATAAAAAAAACATATTTAAACATTTACAACAAATACCTACTTGGAATCTTTATGTGTCGACCCGTACGAGTAGTCTGCCCAACCTGTGTGGAAATGGGAACAACATTATTTACCGACCTCGATACCTCTATATTACTATCACCATTCTCCGACCTTGGACGAGACAATACTACCGAAGGATCACTAACTTCTAATTGATATAGTTTTTGGAATGGTCGTATTTTCAACCCCGTTGAAGTTTTTAGTTGAGCCGTTCTACAAACCTGATCTCGACCTGTGAAAATATTTGTCACCACACCTAATGGCCATTTAATCCTTTTTTCATCAGTCTCGATCAATACAACGTCACCTATTTTCAAGTCATTTGTCTTTTCTTTACCTTTCTGAACCAATGTCGTCAAATATTCAGTTTTAAACCTTTGTCGGAAATCTTCTCTTAATTTTTGTATAAATCTCAATCTTTTATTTAAACTATTTCTGTCTAATTCGTCTAAATCTGTGACATCAGATTGTAGTATGGGTTGTAAAAAGTGTATGGGTTTTAATGGTTCTAACGAATTACTTTTCTCATCTTCGATATAAGTTAAAGGCCGTCCATTTAACGTCGCTTCACAATCACAAAGTATAGTTTGAAGCTCTTCATATGTCACAGATGACTTGCCTAATACTCTTTTCAATAAATCCTTCAAAATTCGAATTAACCGTTCCCAAAATCCACCCCACCACGCAGCAGTAGGTGCATTAAGTTTCCATTTTATACCCTGTATAACAGAATCTTGTTCAACTTTTGTCCAGTCTATTTCTGATAGTAAATTTTTTGTTCCGACAAAATTTGTACCATTGTCACTCATCATAATGCTGACTCTTCCTCGTCGAGCTATGAACCGACGAAAGGTCATCATAAATGCTTCAGTCGAGAGTGATCTGGTTGCTTCTAAATGTACAGCTCTGTAGACTGCGCATGTATACAATACGATCCAGCACTTTTGTCCATCGCGTAAAATCAGTGGTCCAGCTAAATCTACACCAGTAATTTCAAAAGGAGCAGAACAACGTGTACGCTCTACAGGTAATGGAGCAGTCGATACCTGTACATGTTTGGCTCTGTAGCGTTTACATACACAGCAACGTGAAATTATTGCCTTTACTAATTGTCTAGCACCTATAATCCAGTACTTACTGCGTAAATCAGCTAACACGGTATTTAATCCAGCGTGTTGCAACAGAGCGTGTCTTTGTTCCACCAGTCTATGTATTAAAATATTCCTCGCTGGTAGTATAACTGGATACTTCGTGCTTTCTGGAAAGTCGGTAAGTAAAAGCTTTGTTTTTGTTCTTATTAAATTATTCTTGTCATAAAAATTACTTATTCCCTTAATTTTACTTTTAATAAATTCTTTACTTTCTACTTGAATAAGCTTGAAGATTCTTCTTTCGCTTTCCTCATATTCTATATAACTTAAATCTCCCTTTAACTTTGTTTCATTTCGAGTGTTGTATAAAAATCTAAGTATCCATGCCATCATCCTTATATTTTTGTTATATTTAGAAAAGTAAGAAAACCATTTATTTGTTACTATTTCTTCTGAACATATGTTAGTACTACAAATTGTTGATTTTTTCAGCTCGCGGTTTACTTCTTCATTATCTACGGAAACAGGTAAGTTTATCCATTTATTATTTTCCGATTTCAGCCATTGCGGACCTTCCAGCCAACCAGAAGTCAATAGAATTGCAGCATCACATCCTCGTGATGGTAAGTCAGCCCAGTTAGAATTTCCTGGAATATGAAACCAATTATTAACATCAGTATTCTTCCGTATTTCTCTAACTCTGTTACCTACAAACGTATTCCATTGTAGTTCCTTTTTAATCCAGCACAATGCTACATTTGAATCAGTCCAGCAATATTCCTCACATTCTAATTTCAAATCTCTACGTGACTCTGCCAATAATCTTGATCCAATTAATGCAGCTAACAGTTCTAAACGTGGAATAGATGGTTTTTTAGGAGGTGCAATTCTTGATTTCGCTGAAATCAATCGTATTGTTATTTTGCCTTTATAGTCAGACCTTAAGAATATGCATGCAGCGTATGCATTATTGCTGGCGTCACAAAACATATGTAATTGTAATATACATTCAGAAAATGGACCTTCTGTAAGTCGCCTAGGAATCTTACAATGTTTAAGTTGGCATAAACTTGTACACCATAATTCAAATTTTTCATTTAAATCACTAGGCAGAGGACTGTCCCATTCCAAATTACGACACCATGTCTCCTGAAGGATAAGTCGAGGTATTAATGTAACAGCTGATGTAAAACCAATAGGATCATAAATTTTTTGAGCTATAGATAATAGACTTCGTTTAGTAACAACAATTTTATTTAAGTCACAAAATGATGACATATTACAACTAAATGTATCGCTTGATGTATGCCAATGGAGTCCTAAAACCGAAATAACCTTGTTTGTATTTTTATGTGACGTAGGAGATATAACCCATTGTCTAAGATCAAACTTGGCTTGATTCATAATGACTTTAGCCTCCTTTTCGAATCTCCATACATCTTCTTCACTATCCAAACTAGTGACTACATTATCTACATAAAAACACTCAGATAATATATCTGCTGTATCTCGATTGTAATTACTGACGTTATTGAGATGATGTTGTATCGTAGCCGATAATAAAAATGGGCTACATGTTAAACCAAAAACTACTCTACGATGTCTAAAAGTGATTAATTTATTATCCTTATCCCACCATAAAAATCTTAACATATCTCTATCTAAAGGTGTAATCGATATTTGTAAAAAAGCCTTAGCTATATCTGCTGTAATTCCTATTCCTCCTTTCCTAAATCCATTCAGTAGCTTAGGTATTTTATCCAGCATATTGATGCCAGTATCAAGACATATATTCAGCGACTTACCATATTTGTCCTTAGCCGACGCGTCAAATACCGGTCGAATTTTAGTCGTGAGACTTTCTTCTTTAATGACTGGTCTATGAGGTAAATAATGTGATGAACCTTTATGTTCATCTGGGTTCGTAACTTTCTCTATAATGCCGAGGTTAAGCCATTCATCAAACACTTTATCATAGCTCTCATAGATGTCAGACGATTGTAATTTTTTCGTTACTGACTGTAGACGTCGATAAGCTAAATCGTAGTTATTTAATAATTCATTATGACCTACCTTCCACGGCAAAAATACTTCATAACGACCCTCGTCGTTAACCGACACATTCTCCTCAAAGTTTGCCAGTACCTCTAATCTTGCCTCTTGTTTTGTCTTCGTTTCTATTGGGTCACGAATACCTAATGTCTCAAGACACCAAAAGTTACTAACTGCATCTGAGGAACAAAACATAGCTACTTGAGTTGACATCATGTTTATTGTAGACGACATATGAGCTTTACCTTGTAAAGTCCACCCAAGTTTAGTGTGTATTGCCACTAACGAATCATATAATCTCACCAGATGACCTGTAAGAATCAGACCTGAAAAATCAGCACCAATAAGTAATCCTATATCATCAGAAGTTTGATTGGTGTCTGTTAGTGTTATGTTGTGTCTAGTAAGTAAGTCTTGAATATCATATTTATTATATTTAGGAATGTTACGACATATACAAGATTGTCCTAATGCAGATAATTTAAAATTAAAGGATTTATCTACACTACTAATATTTATATCATAGACATTGAAATTTTTTGAAGATATTTGTACATCACCAAATAGAGTTTGATTTAAAACTTCGTTACCAATATTAGGGATGTTGAGACGTTTAACAATATCTTCTCTGATGTAAGAACGTTGTGCACCATTGTCAAACAGAACACGTACCATTTCATGTTGTTTCCCGTTGTTAACAATCACTGTCACTGTCTGTAGCAATGTCGTCCCTTGACCGTGTCTCGGTACCGCCGACAAATTAGCTGCGGTACTCATTACTGTACTATCATTGGGCTCCTCTTTCTTTCCATTGCATAAAACAACAGCATGACGTCGCCCACACACAATACATTTAATAAATGTTTTGCATACCTTTGCGTGATGTCTTTTTTAAGACAAATTGTACACATCTTTTGTTTTTTAAGATACTCACGTCGATCATCAATAGACATCCGTTGTAGTTTGTAACACTCTAATGTTTCGTGGTTTCCTTTCTCACACCATATACAAGAAGGTTTTGATATAGAAACTGGTTTTGACTTCGTCAAGAGACAGCTGGCTGTAGGCTCCATCATTTGGTGTTCTTTCACTCTTCCTCCTTTCTCTTCAATAGACTTAGCCATACTAACTCTTTGTTGTGTCTCTACTTCTCTCTTCAAAAAATCTAACAATCCAGTTAATTCAGTTGTAACATCTGTTGTACTTTTTGCTCTTTCCCATAACTGTAAAATTTCCTGTGGTAAAGCACTCTCAATCATGGGAAGCAGAAAGGCAGCAAATTTGTCTTTAGTAACTCCCAAAGTATCTAACGCTCGTAATTGTGCACTCAACTTATCGTATAATGGAGTAATTTCAAGTTGGGTGCGTGGATTTACCATTGCCAATAATTCTCTGACGTAAACTTGTATCAGTAATTCTTCCCTGGCAAATCTGGACTTCAACTGTTCCAAACATTCCTTATAGGACGATGGAATAAATCCCTCCACTAATCGTCTTACCTCAGTATTGGGGGTCATGGATTGTAATAAATACTGGTACTTATCAGTAGGGTCGATATTGGGATCTCTATCAATTTTAGAGAACTGGCCCCAGTAATTCAGCCAGTTCTTCAAACTACCGTCAAAGTGTATAAATTCCAGCTTGGGGAGTAAAATACTTTTCTTACTTACGTTTCCTTCCCTCGAAGCTAACATATTTTTGTACAAAGTATCTATTCGTAGCCACTTCTCTCTGTATTCTAAGGCGCTGTCGATTTCTTTACTTAGTACGTCTTCATCATCACTGCTTCTTAATAAACTCCTTATTTCTTTATCTAATGTAGTTAATTGAGCTTGCAGTTCATCTAGTTTTTTGTACTGTATTTTAATGTCGACAGAAAATTCCGGGCTATCGAATTTAGTTTCAAAGGAACTTACAGATCTTGTGAATATTGTTCTTATGACTTTTCTCTCACGTTTCATCGCCGCAATCTCGTTTACTGATTCGGTCGCCATAATATTGGGCAGTACAGCAAACCCAATATATATATATAATAATAGATATTGAATTGTTAGGTTCGTAGATAGGGCATCAATAAAAGAGGAAAGTAAAATATTATATCACAATTATATTTCTCGATGAAGTCTAAATTTACAGTCTTTATTTTCTATTGTTGTAACGATGACAAGGAATGTACAATTTTCAAATTTATATTTTCTTTATACAAACTAAAGAGTTATTGACACTCACCTTAACTAAAACTAGTGGTATATATGTAAATAATGTAGAATAACAGATAAACAAAAACGTATTCCTGAACAAATTTAAATTATATGTAAACACATTTATTACTATGATATAGCAATACGGATGTTTTACGTGAAGGCAGACAAGATGACAATACATTCTCTTTTCAAATATTTATACATACATCGTCTGCCTCCCTATTTGATCCCTTAAATATTATATCCCACTAGCTTTTGCCCGCGGCTTCGCTCGCGTATGTAGTAAATATTATTGTTAATTAGGTGTAGTTTTTGTAGCTTTATTTTAGTTTAGCGTGTGTAAAAAGTTAGGGCCTACAAAACCTAAGAAGATTTCCACAAACTTTCATCCCCTATTTTATCCCCTTAGGGGTGGAATTTATCAAAATCCTTTCTTAGGGGATGCCTATGTCATAGTAGCTTTATGTATGCAGTCTCAGCCCGATCGGTTGTAAATTGACAAAGTTTCATACAAACTTTCATCCCCTATTTTATCCCCTTGGGTGTAGAACTAATAAAAATCCTTAGCGGATGCCTATGTCATAACATCTACCTGCATGCCAAATTTCAGCCCGATCCAACCAGTAAATTGGGCTGTGCATTGATAGATCACTATGTCAGTCACCTTTGAGTTATATATATTTAGATAAATGTCCTACATGAATAAATGATTTTTGAATTTGATTTTGACATCACTCTCGTCTCTAAATTTACCAGTGTTTCACTACAATATGCATGCTGCATGTATTATACATATAAACCTTCCTCTTGAATAACTCTATCTATAAAAAAAATGGATTCAAAATCCATTGTGTACTTTTAAATATTTAAGCATACATAGGGACAGATAGCAATTTTGTTTTATACTATATAGTGATTTATTTTATATAAAATCTGTCACTGCACACCATAAACGTCTACAAGCATCCCTCTTAATTTTCATTTATTACTAAAAGTACCTACAACTTCGCCTGCATGGAATTTAACATTATTTTTCTAATAATCTAGTAGCCTAACTGACTCCTTATTACATTAGCTACCTGCCAAAGAAAAGGCCCGTCGAAATTGGTCCAGCCATTTCAGAGATAAGTGAGAACAAACAAACAGACAGACAGACAAAAATGTAAAAAATCTTATTTTGGTGTTTGTACCATATTTATATTCATATGCATTTAGTAAAAAGATGGTTATTTCAATATTACATATCACTAACAACATTCAAATTTCAGAATTTGATTAAACCTTCACAAACATTTCAGAATTATCGGAGCTACAGACGATAATTAGCAGAATGTCGTTGGAGGTTTGCTGTGTGACAGTCCTCCCCGAGTTTGGGGTGCGCTGGCGGGAGGTGTCACGTCATATCCGTAACTCCCGTCTCCCTATGACGAGTGTCAGTGTCGCTAGGGTGCTATGCAGACATGCTGCTAAGTCTTTACCGGAGGAGGAAATTGAAGACATAGCGTCCAGGTTACGGTTAAAACGTTAGTATTCACCATTTTAATGGCCTTGGTGGTGTAGCGGTTTAGCCCACAGCTTTACTTCTGATGGCCGCGGGTTCGATTCCTCGCAAAGCATAAACATTGTATTAATGCGTATGATTATTTGCATTGATGTGGGCGTTTTCTATGCATATTATGTACACATTTAGAAAAAAACTAGCTGTCCCGGCAAACGTTGTTTTGCCATATAAATTGATAGCGCTATAAAAAAATAGGGGTTGATGATAGAAGGGTGAAAATTTAGGATTGTATGTATTTTTGTATGTTGTATCATAAAAAAATAGAAACTAAAAATTTTGTCTAAAAAATAAAAAAGTATTTAGGGGTGGACTACCCCTAACATTTAGGGGGATGAAAAATAGATGTTGGCCGATTCTCAGACCTACTCAATACGCTCACAAAATTTCATGAGAATCGGTCAAGCCGTTTCGGGGGAGTATGGGAACGAAAACTGACACAAGAATTTTATATATAAGATATATCTAAGTATTTATACCAGTTGTCTAGTACCATACTATATGTACTATATACAAATATATTGACATAATTTTTCGTAAATACGATATAAACAATCATTCATGAATACAAATGTTTGTACCGTGCGAGGATTTGAACCCGCGACCATCGGAAGAAAGGTATACCGCTTGTCAACTTGTTTGCTATTCATTCATTCATTCATAATTTAAGAGTGAAGCTCTTGTTGGAGCTCTTACCACTTTCCACGATCTTCCATCGTACTTTTTAAACCTCGATACGACACGACTTAAATTCTGTCTTTAATTTGCTTGATATAGCTGTGCCTTGGTCTTCCTCTCCCCCTCTTTCCTTCTATCATTCCATCATTCCCTTATCTTGATCGTGCCATACCAAGTGTCACAACAGTTTTCCTCGTCTATATATTTACATAAAAAAACCTCTTACATAATTTCAGTGGCAGCGAACCAGTGCCGCACTTGGCACGTAATCGAGCTCATGGAGAAGGAAACGGAAGAGGCGATCTCCAAACAGATACACATGCTGCCCAGTCGGGTGACGCAGGCACTGAGCAAGTGCAGGAGTAAGAACATGAGGCCTGAGGTTTGTATCGGGTTTTATTAATGGACTAGCTGACCCCGCGACTTCGTCCGCGTGGAGTTTAACTTGATTTTTCTAATATAAAAGATTTTTTCTAAAATAAAAGTAGCCTAAGTTACTCCTTATTACATCAGCTACCTGCCAAAAAAAGTCCCTTCAAAATCGGTCCAGGCGCGTTTATAGTTTACGCTGGCACCATTGACGGCCTCGGTGGTCTAGCGGTTGGTTACCGCTTTACTTCCCATGGTCGTGGATTCGATTCCTCGCACGGCGCAACCATGAGTATCTTTGTGTATATCCGATACATACATACATATCCGATAATATTTCATATTTTTATCAATTGTCTGATAGACTACAAGCTTTACTTAGCTTAGGAGTAGATAGTGCTGTGTGCATTATTCAAGTAATTTGTGAATACAACTAATTTAAAAAATATATATTTCTAGGTGCAGACAGTTCTACTGGGTGATCTGATGTACATAAGCGTACAGCTACTGTCTGAGAGCAAGCAGGGTAGCGTTCTGTTCGTAGCTACTCCCCCTACAGAGCCGGTCGCGCTGGTTAGCTCGCTCAGCATGACCACTCTACTAAAGGCAGTTGTTGAAGGTAAATATAATACCTAAAAGTAATTTCGTTCTCTGGAATTTGGAATGTCCTAATTCACTGGATATTGAAGCGGTTTTTTTAAATAGACAGACTGATTCTGGAATATTTATATGTATAATATATGTACACCTGTGCGAAGCCGGGGCGAGTAGCTAGTGTCGTATAAAACACTTCCTTTGTAAAGAATCATATTATACAATTTAAGAGTTAAGGATAGTGATGTTTTTGTAGAAAAACTTAAAATTCATGGCACTGACAATATTATGTGATTGCACTAAGAATGAGTGCGTAATGGTTTCTATGTTGATTATAGCATGCCTCTTGTCATTGTGTAATTATTTCTATAAATAAAACATTTATTCAAAAGAGCAACACACAAGTTTATTCTTCTATGTTTGCCCACATGTAAATTATATTATCACTGTATTATCTGTGCAATAAAGGAATAGGTAGTGTAGGAATAAAGATAATATTTTAAGGAAAGTGTTACCTATGAATGTGGATGGTTATAAAGCAGAGGAAGGCCGAAAAAGAGATGGATGGACCGTGTGAATGATGATACGGCAAAAACGGAGTAAATTCAATTCAATTGATTTACTGGAACATGTGTACATAATGGTCTTAAGATTATAATTATGCCAAACATGGCCTGCCGTTTCCGGCGTGTAAAAAATTACATTATTAATATTTCTAATAATAAAGAAATATTTTTAATTAAAATATTATTTCAATAACGAGATGACTGCGAACAGGCAGTAATGGATGAGAAAAACATATTCCACCGACTATAAATGAATGAATGGTTGTAGTTTCGCCCGGATGGAATCGCGGATATAGATAGTTGATTAATATTAATGTTGTTACAGGACTCGGCTACAACAAATATGAAGATGCAAATCTTTACGGGAAGGATATACGATCTTTGCTTCAAATATACGACCGCAAATTTACAGAAAATGCTGACCATCTCACAGAAATACCAGAATACGCGCCCGTACCAGTCACGACGCGTTCCGGCATAGACTACACATACAAAGCATATGATGCAGACTATGTCCAAAATATACTAGGCCCCAACCCACCCCTGTTGACGAATTTAAATATTACAACAACTAAAAAGTTCTACAATCCGTCCGTACTGAATAAACAGATTAATCTACGGGTAACACTGAAGAGTGACAATGTAGCTACGACGTTCAAATCCTGGGTTGCCAAAAGCGCTCTAGCACCTACATCGGATTTCTTCAAAATATTCCATCAAATTAAATCAAATAAAGTTACTTATTGTAAGGAAGATAGTGATTGATATGTATAATTTATATATGAAGATGAAATCGTCTGTGGGACTCCTAATCTCACTCCTACTTCTTAATGGTCGGCAACGCGCACGTGACACCCCTAGTGTTCAGGCATCTATAGCCTACTGTAACCGTTTACCATCAAATGACGGCCCATTTTTTATGTTAATGCTAATGGAATGGTGCACCCGCCTGTGCTAACTGTTTACGCTGGTGGGGCACCAGTGAAGGATGATAAGATGAGCATGAGGTCAGGCCAGTTAGCCCATCGTGACAAATTCACCAGGAATTTAACACGATGGTTTCCAGAGGGAACCGCGTGGAGGTCGACCTGACATGGTACATTCCTCCCCCCAATGGGCCGTATTCTTATTTGCCATCATCCTAGTATAAAAAGTATTGTTGCTGTGCAAATTCCCTTGAAAGCAGTTTTGATTTGAAGGTAGGCATATCCCATGCCAGTGAAATTACAGGGTGTGGAGACAATAAAGTTCTCAGTAATTATAAAGCATGAGTAGGGTGAGGGTTTTACATTACGCTGATGATGTTCATGTTGCTGTTCATAGATATAGGTGACAGTTGCCACTTACTACAATACTACGAGATCGAAATTACGACGGCCTGAGCCCAGTAGGACCTTCGAATCCCCTAGCGGTGCCCTCAGACTAAAGTTGCATTCGTCAGGCGGGAGTTGGCTTTCAGCCGCTCCATAAGTCCTTCCTTTGGTTTGCATTGCCATCTGCACTCGCCCCCTTATCGTCCGATGACGCTGTAAAGGCCAGCTGCAGCCAAAAGCATTAGAGAAATCCGAAAAAAAATCTATACCAGAAACAAAAATAATGCGTGTACAATGTCACTGCTCCTTTATTTTAAAAATCTCAGAAGGGATTATAAAGCGTAGATAATCGATACTAAAGAAGGAAAATACAAAATATATCCCTATGCTAAGACTATAGCAATTAAATGATAATGCTTTAATTGTGTTAATTTATTATTAAATATTTTTAATTAATTAATTTTAATATAACACTTTTTTAAATTGAATGTCCTAATTTGGGAAAAATTAAAACATTTCTGACCAATATGTTGTTTTCAATTTTGTCAAATATTAACAGTTTTTTTATAATGGCTCCATTTCACTTGTTTGTTGATCTAAGAATTTTGTACAATATTGTTACCAATAATAAATTTGATTTGGTTTAAATAAAATCACAAGACCATTCTTTTGTTTATTTTATTTGTAATCACATTCAAAATCTGTATGAACCGGTCTTGGCGGAAAGATCTTAATTCATCGGTTGTTACGAAACAAATGCAGTATCTATATAAATTTAATTTTAAACCAAACTGTGTATAAGTTCGCAAGCATCTCAAAAGTACTAAATATCTGTTCAGTTTTCATATATCAACCATTTGTTTTCTTAGGAAGGTTTTGGGTGTATAATTCGTCAAGGCTTTATTTAAATCAATTGAAGTAACCGTGGCAAGCCGGGTGCCTAATTAAAGTTAATTTAGTTAAGTTTAGTATATTAGTCCTGTGAATAAATTAACAGGTAAATATTATTGCAAGATTAGTTCATTTTTAATTTACTTAGAGTAATTGCATCAAATACTATTTATTTAATGGGAAACATCCTATTTGACGGCCTCGGTGGTATAGCGGTTTGGTACACTAGCTAACTTCCAATTGTCGCAGGTTCCTCGCATGATGCAAATATTTAATCCTGAGTATGATTATTTGTATTGTTCTGGGTGTTTTCTTTGTATGCATTTGCATAAAAAAAGTATTTATCTATCTGCTTTATACATAGAAAACCGGTGAAATAGAATCGAATGTGTTCACTAATTATAATTAGTAAATTGATCCAATTGAGATAGGAGAAGGATTATGAAGGTATGTCAGAATATTTAGAAATTAAAAAATACATATTAAATTTAGAATTCCTAATTTATTTTATAACAACACAAAACTTACATATAGAAACACGGCAAGAGAATTATTCTACATTCAAAATTCACCTATCTATAAAGTGCGTCTATTACATTTAACTAATTGAGCGGTTCGACTTATTAATCTGTATTTTTATTCTGTAGTACAAAATATTTTTTTTGTAGTGAGACATTACTGTACTCAGATTTGTGTAATAAATGTAGGGCATTTTAGAGCCAATTATTAATTAATTTTCGTTAAAAGAATTTTATTCTTTTTGATCCCCTCGCGTCCTTGTTGGCACACATTTGTGACTAGCTCCCTTCTGGACCTCCTTAGCGTGACGTCATATCTTTAACAAATTTAGACTAATAAACTTGCCAACAACTTAAACCTTATAATAATACTGATAAAGTTTTGAATAACTATTTGATTTTAATGAACTTACTACGTTTTCGTCTTTCCCGACAACTGTATTGACTTTATCCAGAAGTCCTATTTAGGTGAGTTCGTTCATTTCAGCGATTCGGAATTTTTGTAAGGTTTTTGTGAATAGTTCCAATATGGTGTTTTAATACATAGATATATCTTAAATTTTGATATCACGTCACGGAGGACTCCTCTCACACTATCGACCCCCTTCCAGCCCTTAATATGTAACATAACCTATGGATGACTCTTTATCGACTTAAGCACATGTTTTTATTCCTTTTTTAAATGTTCCGGCCAGTTCAGACGCCTCTCGAATGGAATATAAAAATATAAATACAAACCTGAGTACACCAGTACCTCTTTCAAATTTTGACAGTTAATAAAGCCCGTTATGACAGCTGTCAAAACGCTACATATTTATATTTTTTCATAAAAATACTACCGAATACAATGTCTGTATAGGCTGAGTTCTTTTGCCTTTCCCTGAAACGGAAAAACCAAAAAAACAAAAGAAAATTATATCCGGCTGACAAACCAAGCTTTATAAATGTAATAAAAATTACGTGAATTTTTATCAATATGGTCTCCCCTTCTCGTTGTGAGAATTATATCTATTAATATTATTAATGTTTAAAATTGAAACTATTATTTGGTGTCTAATGACATTAAATATGTTTTCCTAATAAAACAAAGTCATCGCCACTGTCTGTTCGCTTATATCTTTTAAATTACACAACGGATTTTAATGCAGTTTCAGCAATAGAGAGTGATTCAAGAGAAGTGTATATGTATAATACATGCGTGTTATAGTATAGCACAAATCGATAAATTCAAAGATTTGTATGCATCCATTCGTATGAAGCCGTGGCGGGTTGTTACTTGAATAATATAAGTTTCTATTTTAAACGTTAATAATCTTTATAATACAATGACACAGATTAGCTACATTATTATATAACAGAAACCCAACAATTTGTGTTACATTAAATTTAGACTAGATCAACGAAAACATTGTAATAATAAAAATATTTTTTTTTAGTAGCCCGAATGAAAACAGACTAAGGTTCATTATTTTAGTAGCTACGATGCCATGTTTGCGTCCGGAACTATAAAAAGCAGTCGATGTTTGATCACTTACAGTATAGTTTTGAAAATATTTAATTTAGCCCTTATAAATAAAACAAATATAAAAAAGTCTGGCTGTTGCGTGCTGACAGATTTATTTAGATTAATAGGTGTACCTCGCTGCACTTGAATTTCCGTTAAAAGTATCCTATTTATTAATCTGGTAAATGGTAAAAAAAAATATTTAGACTCCATTAAAATATATCTTAATCCGTGCGAAGTAAGGTTGAAAATAATATAATTCTAATGTATTAAGTAGCGATAGGATGTATAGGGTTGCCAACCTTAAAACACTTAGCCTAAAAAGGCTAATCTTGTATTTGTACGTTTCCCCGTACGGTTGGCATCCCTGTATCGGTGTCGAATATAAATAAATGGGACGACGAAGCGACTAGTATATCATTCTCTTATTCACAAATAAACTTAATTTACCAACAAACATTGATATAAATACATACGGAATTTAATGAACTCAAGCAAATCTTTATTCATGTAGGTCTATTATAGACTCTTATGATATATCAAACCTACCGTCAGTTTCGAGCTAAGTTTTTTTTACACAGTTCTTATTTTGTCAAATGAGCTTATACAACGACAAATATACAGCCTAAAAACTAATTTTATTGCAACAATTGTTTCGAGTTAATATTTTTTTTTAAATATTGTAATGATGTTGGCCGCAGCTGGCCTTTACAGATTCACCGGACGATAGGAGCGAGTGCACATGGCACTTCAAACCAAACGAACGACTTATACGGGCGGTTGAAGACCAACTCTTGCCGACTGTCAGTCTGAAGGCACCGATAAGGGTTCGACTCAGCTCGACCTCGGCTCAGGTCGTTGTAATTTCGATCCGTTTGAATTGTATTTATAAGTCCATTAAATTCCCGTAAGTAGTTATAAATATATCAATATAAAATTAAACATAAGTATTAAAAATTATGTACCAACAGATCTAGAATTATGCTATATTAGTATATAATAACTTAAACACCGTAATTGTATAACAAAAACGTAAATTTAATTATCTTTAATTAGACACGTTTCGCACCAGATTATAGTCAGATTTTTTTAAATTTATAATCATAAATAATAACAGTCAAATATCGAACAAGTAAATGAAAAATTTACATCGAAATCGCTGTAAGTACTTGGTCTTTATACTAGAAATAATAAAAATATATATAGTAACCGCGTAGATTCAAACATTAGTGTTGCCAGATGACAGTATTGTTTTACCCCAAACGTATATTACCCCCCACCAAATTACTAACGGAGAAAATCCTTCTGTCCCCCTCTACAATAAAAAAAAAACATTTAGAACATTTTCCTATCGCAATAATATCGTTCTTGTAATTCAAAATGGCGGCGTATATATTCCCGCCATAATTACAAAAATGAGCAAAGATAACGGCTGCATGGTCTGAGTCTTTTTGCTTTTGACCTTTTCCCCACACAATAATGTTATTCTTGTTTTAGTTTGCAAATTTCCCTTGTTATTTAGACATACATATGCGTGGGAAAAACCCCTAGACCCCTCCAAGGATCGCACCCA